TGCAAAGATGGTAACCGAAGCGACAATCGAGTCGCTGTGCGACTCGATAACCGCTCTTTCAACTGTATTCTACAACTGCTTTACCTTCCTACTTTCTATATATTGCTGTATGCTTGTTCCTTTAATCAATCACTTGTTCTCATATACTAGTACAAGGGTTCAACTGCTCAACTTCTGCTGCACTACTCAAGTCTCATTTTACAACTGGACTTAGTCTCTGGAAAGATCGTAAGGGCTTTTCTCAGCCCAACACTTTTCTCCGGCTCTTCCTCTGTGTGCTGACTCCTGACTCCACTACCCCCAATGCCAACACAGGCAGCGTGTGCGCTGAGGTGAAAGAAACATACAGCTCTCCCCCTTGCTCAACTCATGCCACTTTTACCGTACCATAATACAATTTATGAGAAGTAGTTGCCATGACATGATAACAAAGCAACTGAGGTGCAAATTGCAACGCATGTCCCAGTCAGGGCTCCATGCAGCCAAGACGTAAACTATTCTAGCCTCTCACTACCAGCGAGGAGCCAACTCTTGCCCCACAAGAGAGGTTCCTCCAGGTAGCTTGAGAAAGTGCCAGCAGGTCCGCTCAGCACTTGTATAATATACAATACAGGAGTACTATGTATGTCAGAAGGTCGCACGTGCAGTGCGCACTTGGTGTGTATGTTGAGGTAAGCTTGACATGTCACGTCACTGCCTGCACGGAGACAAAACAAACCGTAGGTGGCACTTGTCCTGAGTGCAATGTGTGAGGCACTGGACATAGTTGTTTTCAGCAGCTAGGAATTGAGTTCTCTCATTCACATCGCTAGGCATGCATGCAGCAGACCCAACAACAGACAGACAGACGCGACCAGAGACGAACAGACAGACTCGAACACAGAAAAGACACGGTCAGACAGACACGAAGTGACACACAAACACAGTCAGACAGAGACACAACGCGAACCTTGTTGTCAATTGTGTGCGGTAATCGAGTCCGCGCCCAGGCCAAGCAGAAACGAGGACACCTCCTGCTGCATCCACGTGTTGTCGGCTCTCAATAGATGGCCGCCAAACTCAAGCTGCTTCCCGTCAGCAGCTGATACCCGGCAGAAGTACATTGTACTGAACCGCCTCTCCTGAAGGGGGGAGGGGAGGAATGCCTGGTGATGAGATCCAATCTAATGTGATTGTCCCATGCCACCTCTATTATTCCCGTCAGCAGCTGATATCCGGCAGAAGTACATTGTACTGAACCACCTCTCCTGAAGGGGGAAGAGGGGGATGCCTGGTGGTGAGATAGAATCTCTTGTTAGCAACCCATGTCACATCTACGCTGCCAGCATGAGAACCATTCAGACTACGAGCATCATGCACAAGACCTTCCAGCGACCCCTATCGGGCTTGCCCGCCGGCCCCAATTCTGCAGTTTTTTTGTTCCACTAAACACTCGTACGGAAAAGTTACTTAGCGCTGTGGGAGTGTGCCTTTCCCGGGGAAGCTGACCATTTTGCAGAGTGAGACGCGGATGATGGAGGCGGTGGGGATGGTTGTGTCCGCGCTCCACCCAAACAGCTGCCACGTGTGCAGCAGCTGGCAGCTGTCGATTCGAATCGTGCGCACCACGAACGCTGAACACACACGAAGAGCTGCCATCCTGAGATGGGTGGGGGTAGTTGGTGGGTGGGTGGGTGGGGAAAGAGGGAGGGAAGGGGGGGAGTGGTGGACTAAGTTGGAATATACGCGTATCGCGTTTTGAACGAGAGCGTTTATATGAGAGCGTTTATACGCAATACACCAGAATGGAGGGGGTCGGAACGCATGGAATACGGTGGTCTGGGCAGGGGAAAAACTTTTCCGGGCAGGCAAAATTGGGGTTAAGTGGCGGGGAAGGCGGGGAAGGGGGGGGGGTTAAAATGGCGGTAATTTATGCTTGGGAAGCTGGCTCTGTTTGATGCCAACCCCTCTCAAGGATGAGTTAGGAGGGGTTGAGAAGCGACAGGGTGGTGAAGGGTGGGATGGGTCAAAGGGGGGGGGTTGGTGCAAAAAGACCAGAGCAGTGGCATGGGAGCATGTCAAATGCATAAAGGCGGTTGTTTCTGGTGCTGTGAGATAGCTACACATGATTATACACATGCACAGCCCCCCATGACACGTGCGAAACACCGCATGTCACATGCACAACCGCACATGCCATCCATGTGCACAAGGGCCCCCACGACACATGCCTCAGATCCCTCACATCCCTCACAGCAAGCCCCAGCCCCTTCCCACACAGCACACCCCCCATGTTACACACATGGCTTCACCCCCTCCTCTCCACCCCCTCTCCCCTCCTCCCCCAACCCACCCCCCCCCCCCCCCCCTTCCCATGGAGCACGCAAGGCCTCACAGCAAGCACAAGGCGGAGGCCACAGGCATGAGAGGAGGCATGCGACCCCCCTCCTGGGTGGCGCGATCAGGCACCATCAGCGGCAGCAGCGCCAGGACAGAGAAAAACTGTGCAGGGAGTATGAGCAGAGGGAGGGCATGTGCGACGGAATATGGGATGCCATCGCATGTCATGCTGCCAGCGAGGAAAGTTGTTTCTCCTCCGTTCCATCCATCCACCCGTGCTTGATTCCGTACCCTCCCTGACTTCCAGACCCTATTGTACCGAGCCGTATCATGCTCACACCCACTACCCCATGGCCCCTTCCTGCTCACACCCACTACCCCATGGCCCCTTCCTCCTCACACCCACCATCCCACGAGACTCCCGGATTACCATTCAGCTCACCGCGAAGCCGAGCGTTGCTTTGGCCCAGTGGAGCGGCGGCAGGCGGATGAAGAGGTCGGAGCTGGTCCTCATCAGCAGCTGCGAGGCGGAAGGGAAGGGGGAATGGGGAGGGGGGAGGGGAGAGGGGAGAGGCGGAATGAGGAAGGGGGGAGGGGAAAGGGGAAAAGGGGGAGGCGGACCACGGGGAAGGGGATTGGGAATAAGACGGCAGGCGAATGAGGAGGCCGGGGGGAGCTGGTCCTGGTCAGCAGGTGAGGTGGGGGGGGAGGGGGAGGGGTGATTGGGGAGCGGGGCGGGCGAAGGGGGCAACGACTGAGGGGCGGGCGAAAGAGAGGACAGCACGCGGATGAAGAGTTCGGCGCTGGTCCTGGTCAGCAGGTGAGGGGGGAGGGAAGGGGGGGTTGGGGAGAGTGGGCAAGGCGGAGAAGGGGGGGGGGGGTTTGGGAAGAGTGGGCAAGGTGGAGAAGAACGGGGGGGGGGAGTACGGCCGGCCAGAAGTTGAGAAGGTTCGGTTAAAGCGCGCGGTCTAGGTTTTCCAAGTGTTCAACAATAGAGACAGAAAGTGGGGGCTGATTGGAGAGCGTGTGGAGAGAGGTGAACACAGCATCGCCAAAGCAGACGAAAGCCCACGCATTCGCCCAACCCCTGCGTGAGAAGTCTGTGGGGAAAAGAAGGGGACGACCCACCAAACCACCAACCCCCCCTTTCAGCCTCGGCACCATTTCCTGACAAACAGTGCCCGTCTTAGGGAAGCTGCTCCGCAAACCGCGAAATCCTTGTGTTGCGAAACAGTTATCAGTCCCGTGCTTTTGAGGCGCCTCAAAAGAAATCCTTGCGTTGCGAAAAAGTTATCAGTCCCGCGCGAAAAAAAATAGCTTACTACGGCGAGCTATGTTACCAGCAGTGTTTGCCCAACGTTGAGATTGTCGCAAGGTCGACCAAACGAAACCCTCCAAACCAAAGCCGTTCTTGAACCTCCCACGCGCCCTTCAAAACCTTCCAAACCTACCAAAACTACCAAACCTCCCCAACCAATCGAACCGTGCCAAACTTTCCAAGCCTCCGACAAACATCCCAAACCTTGAGCCCAAACTCCCAAACCTTCAGCCAAGCTTCCAAACCTTCAGCCAAAATTCCAAACCTTCAGCCAAACTCCCAAACCTCTCCAACCTCCCAAGCCTTTTCTTGTATCAGCCCAGCGTGCTCTAGCCTTTCGCCTTCTCCACTGAGGTTACCGATTTCCAATTGTTGAGCAGATGCTGCGTTTTTGGGAAACCTAGACAATGCGCTTTAAAGCCAAGGCTGCATGAAGGGACGGCATTTCAAACCGGCAGTGACAAATCCTTCCCCACCCTCCTCCCCACCCCCTCCCCCCCGCCTCCCCTCTCCCCCTCTCTCCTCCCTTCCCCTTCCCCTCCTCACACACCCCCCCTCCCCTCCCCCCCACCTTGCGCACCACGTGCCCCCCCACACCCACTCGCTTCCTCCACTAGTACTCGTGACGCACCACGCGCGTGCCAGGTGGCGGAGTGCCGCCCAGTGAGTGCGACGGATCGATTAAAGGCGTCTCCATCTCCACCGCAACTGACGCCGCAACTGACGCCGCTTTTGACGCTGCCGAATCCAGGCCCGAAGGGTGCGGAGGTGTGACGGTTACTACGGAAAAGGAGGATGCTGCTGGCTTACTGGCTTCTGAGCCCCGCGCGGCGGAAGAGGCGCTGGCGGATTCCGCCATTGCTAGTATGGCGGACGGGGTGCGGGGAAGGCGCGGGAGCAGGGGAAGAATGTAAATTTAATTGACAGAGCCGGCGGGACAGAACGGGTAGGGCACAAAGAAACAGACGAGGCAGAGCCGGGGGGACGCTGAAAGGAGATTGCAAGGCAGCGGATGACTGGAATGAAATTTGGAAGAAGGAAGGTTATCAAAGAACGGAATGCGTAGCGGTGGGGAAAACGGAATTGGCGCAGAGTGGAGGGTAGGTGGGGTGGTGAGGGAATCAGCGGAGGACGGAGATTGGAAGTGGCGACTTGGTCGAAAATGACGACTGCTTTGGACCTTGGGATTTGGGATTGTTGCATTGTACGCCATACGAACAGCAGCACTTCTGTTAAAGATGACGGAGGAATGTTATTCCTCGGTGTATACTTCACATTTTCAATTGATGGCAATAAAAAAAAAAAAACGGAACTACTTGCCTTTACATGTGACGACTTTAGAGATTGATCATAGCGCAAACACGTTACACTGCAATTTGATAATGCAACTCATGAATAGGTTCACATGCTATTCGTTCCCACTCCACACCATCACCCACCCAACCTGACACATTCCCCTGTGTCACCCTCTCACCAACGCCCCCACCATGCTCCCGGTGGCAAAAATTGACTTCATTCGAAAGCTGTGGCCATGGAAGCAAAGGTGACTTGGGGGAAAGCTTCCTGGGCTCTGTACTTAAAGCCTGTCTTGACCAGAAGTAGGTCCTCCTAAACCAAGCAGAAATGCCGACACTTCTTGCAGCAGCCATGTGTTTTCGGCTCTCGATAAATGGTGGCCAAAGTCCAGATGGTGGCCAAACATCGGATGTGGCCCGTCAGCGGTTGATATTCGGCAGTAATACGTCGCGATGCACCCGCGCACCTGGCAAGGGGGAGAGACCGATTGCCATGCCTCATCTCATGGTGTCTTGAGCTGAAATCTCATCCAATGTCATCAAAAGACTTAAGCGTTTCTGAAGTGTAACACTACACTCGAGGAAGATTGCAAGGGGTACGCGAGTCAACGGAAGTTACACGAGGGGGCGGACAAAGAACACGAAGGGTCTGGGACTCAAAGGGTCGCAACTGGAGGTTGCGACTGACCGTTACAGCATCACGGATGGTAACCGAAGCGGCAATCGAGTCGCTATGCGACTCGATAAACCGTTCCTGTAACTGTACTCTGCAACTGCTTTCTTATCTTCTATATATTGCTGTATGCTTGTTTCTTTAATAAATCACTTGTTCTCACATACTAGTACAAGGGTTCAACTGTCTCAACTTCCGCTGCACTACTCCAAGTCTCAAGTCTCTACAGCTGGGACTTAGTCTCTGCAAAAGATCCTAAGGGCTTTTCTCAGCCCAACATGGTATGAGAGCTGGTCAGAGACCAAACTCCCAGCAACTACGTTCTATCAAACAACCTGCAACTCAACTCAATTCAACGACTTCATTGATTGCAAGACATGGACAACAAGGGCAAGAAAGTCTCTACGGGCTCACCCAGCGCCCAAGAAACTCAACACGGCAACTCTGGTCTGCACACCTCAGGACTGCAGACAGAGACCGGGACTGCTCAAGAAACAACGGGAAGAGTACCAGAGATGGTGACTCCGTCTCCCTCTTCAAGTGTGGACCCAAATCTCATGGAGAGATTCTTCAGCTTCATGTCGCACTTCGACCAGCAACAGCAGACAAGGACATCTGCGCACTCAACACAGAGCAATGGAGGGAATATGGGATTAGCGCCGATGAGCCTCGATAACTCATCCTTCGGGCGACACAACCAAGCGCCTACCTTTGCGCCTTATCATTCTTCACCGGGGACATTCGAGTTCATGCCGCCCCGCGCCCGACCAACAGCAGCTGCATCACAACAAACACCAAACGAAATTCTCAGTCTCCAGGCTCAATTCTCACACGTCATCAAGCTACAAACATCCTCACCGTTCAACGGACACGACTTCTTTACCTGGAGCTTCGAGTTCGAGCTGCTGATGGAGGCCGCGCATCTTCTGGGATACTTCAACGAGTCCCTGCCATTCCCAAGCAACGGCACTGGGAAGGAACAAGAGATCTTCACATATCAGTCGCTGCTGGCGTACACGGTACTCCTGAGAAACCTGTCACCACAAGAGCAGCAGAGCATCAGAACGTATCGGAGTTATGGAAACTCTGCGGAGCTCGCATGGCACCACCTCAAGTGCCTTTACCAAGCAAACGACAGCGTGACACAAAGCAGACTCATGCAACAGTTGACAACAATACAAATGAAGACCGGGGAAAAGGCGATGCAGTATATGAGTCGCTGCCAGACCCTCCGCGACCGCCTGCTTCGGTGCGGAGGAACGATCACTGAAGAAAGCTTCGTGACACTTGTCCTCGCCGGGCTCGGGCCAGAATGGAGAACCACACGATCACTTCTTCGAGCCCACGGAAGAATTTCGGAGATGCACCTCTGCGCCGAGCTTCACGCTGAACAACAGGAGATGGATCTGTTCGAGGAAAGACAACCAAGGAAGCAACAGCAGTTAGTCTTCTACACTCAAAGAAGAAATGACAACAACTACAACCGACGCAGCAAGCAAGATCAACGCGACAACCGAGGACTCACCATCGTACCGCCATTCTGCCACAACTGCCAGACTTCCGGGCACTCCAAAGTCAACTGCAACCGCCCTCGCGTTTACCGTGCAGCAGACCCACAAGTCGCTTCCACTCAAGCAAGTCCTCCAAGGCGCTCTTCAACATCTGCACAACAAACACCCAACATCATCAACTGCATGGTACACATCGACAACTGCGCACCCGGTTCACCACCCACTTACGCACCAGACGAAGAGGAATTCCCGCCACCGCGCTCGCAAGGACTTCAGGTCAACCCGACATACGCTGCAGTCGCCAACGCCGAACCCACCGGGCGAAACACCTGGTTCTTGGAAAGCTGCTGCGGTCAACACATGTGCTCCTCGGGACGCTTCGTGCAACAGGAGAAACGACTCAACCGCGACGTCGTCATCACAGTCGCCAACAACGAAAACCTGAAGACAAACAGACAAGGCGTGGTTCAGCTACAATCCATGGAAACAAACGTAATACTCCAGCTCAACAAAGTGCTCATTGTCGACAACCTGGGATACAATCTACTAAGCGTAAGCCAACTAATGGCCAAAGGGATTCACCTGGAGTGCGACTCTTACTCCAACGAGTTCCGGCTTTACCACGGGAAGGGCGGCCTCTTCATCGGTCGTGCCCTCTTGAAGTCCGGCGTCTTCGTGTTGGACTTCGTCCCCGACCGCGGTACTGCCGACAGCGACGGTATCGTATCGTTCGCCGCCTGGACTCACCCGCCAGATCTTGATCCCGACTTCGACAGTGACGGCTTCTGGCACTCCAACACCATACCTGCAGCAGAGAGAACACGAGCATTAGCAGTTATCAGACAAGAAAGACAAGTACCCACAAGTGTCCCAACAAAACCATCACCTGCAGTATCGGCAGCAGGACACAGCCGAGTACCACCACCATCAACACGAGGACCACCAACGGAAGCAGACCAACTTATGCCCGCCACACGAGAAGCTTGTCGAAGTCCCGCCTCGGTCGTCGCGTTCTTCTCCAACGCCGACATCTACCACCGCTCGCCCGGTCACCGTGCTCCCGACGACATCTGGCACCAACGCCTCGGACACCCTGCAAACAGCACAATACTTCAAACAATCCAAGCAGAGGTGTTAGAACGCAACGCCCTTCTGACGACGAGCGGTCAAGAACTTCGACGACCACGCGCACGGTGCTTCACATGCCCCGAAGCAGATCTTCCTCATCAACCTTTTTCATCCCATCACAACCCAAGCGCACCTACTTACGCTCCGATGGAAAAAGTCTACAGCGATATTTTAAACATGCCTCGAGACGACGCCGAAGCCGACTTTAACTACGTCATCACTTTCATCGACGCCGCAACCAGATATGTCTGGCACTTCAATCTCAAAACGCGCGACCAAGCCTTCGAAGCCTTCACAACATGGCTCCCCATCGCCAAACGAGAATCAGGTCTCAAACTCAAGAGCTTCCAGTCAGACGGTGCACTGGAATACCAGTCACAACGCTTCAGGACCTATCTGGCGGAAAGGGGAATCAGACGCCTGGTGTCCCTGCCCTATGCTCACCAACAGCAGGGGGTAGCAGAACGCATGAATCGGACCTTGCAGACGACGATGCGAAAACTGCTTCAGGGGATGCGACTGCCAACCACACTGTGGCCAGACGCGATGACACATGCTGTTCACCTGCACAACCTGCTGTCCTCGTCATCACTTCCCAACAACGCATCACCGCACCTGCTGTGGACAAGAAAAAGGGGCAGCACAAAATTACTCAGAGTCTTTGGCTGCATGGTACAGTACAGACCCCACACAGCCCGAGCAGGACGCTTCACACAACAAGCTCGGTGGGGACTCCACCTCGGCATCGCGAAACATTTTCACGCGTGGAAAATTCTCGACATCCAAGACAAAAACACGGTGGCATCACGAGACGTTATCTTCTACGAACGACTGACTCTACAGCATTACCTGGACAACCTTGCCAACACACAAGACCCCACCGCCGGCCTCTCGGGACTTCGTTCCTTCGCCGATCGTGCTGCCGAAGCTGACGCAGCAGAAGAAGACGTACCTGGAGCCCCGGAAGCTGCCGGGCCACTCCCATTCTGTTCCGTACCTGTTCCACTCGATGAAGATAATCCCCTCGATAGCAACAACCTCGACACCTTTTACCACTTCGCCGACCAAGGTTACGCTACACCTCACCCCGTCGACACGAATATTTCGGAACGCATCGGCCCCAATTTCTTACCTGACCCCGAAGACGGTGACGAAGCAGCTTATTCCGGGAATGACAATTCCCCTCGACACACACCCACGGGACTCCAGATTCTAGGCCTCTGGGTCTCCGTCCAGCATCCGCCGCCGCCTTCTACGCGTGAGCCTTCAACCTTGTCGCAGGCTCTGGGGGGGGAACATAAGGTAAAATGGAAGGAAGTGATGGAAAAGGAGTTAAAAGCTCTGCAAGACCGAGAAACATGGAAACTGGTACCTGCAACGAGCATCAACGGGAAGAACGTTCTCTCGGGGAAATGGGTGTACCGCATCAAGACCAACTCAGACGGCTCCATCGAGCGATTCAAAGCTCGATGGGTCGTACGAGGCTTCGATCAACGATACGGAACCGACTACACAGAAACCTTCGCTCCAGTCTCCCGTCACACCTCATTACGCATCCTACTCGCCGTCGCGGCCACGAAAACACTACCACTACGCCAAATCGATGTCGCGAATGCGTTCCTATACGCACCTGTGGACGCTGAGATCTTCGTCGAACAACCCCACGGATTCATCGACGACCCCACGAAAATATGCCGACTGACAAAATCCCTATACGGGATCAAGCAAGCCCCGCGGCTCTGGCAGCAGCATCTTCACAGCCGTCTCGTAAAAATCGGCTTCCTACAGCTACCACATGACCAAGGCATGTACCGACTGCAGAAGGGAAGAGATTACATTCTGCTCATCGTCTACGTCGACGACCTGCTCTACATCGGTTCTACCACCGACATCGTCACCCGGTTCGAAGGGGAGCTGAAAGGGGACCTGACGCTCACAGTGTCCGACTCAGTAACCCAGTACTTGGGGCTAAATATCGTCGAAGACAACTCGGCGTTCTACCTACACGCTGGAAAGTACGCAGGCACTGTCGCGAAGAAATTCGGACTAACACCGGCTACCGCCTCAACTCCCTACCGCTACGGAAACAACAACAGCGCCTCCGCAAAACTCCCCGCGAAGCAAATCCAGGAGTATCAACAGAAGCTCGGCTGCCTACTATTTGCAGCAGTAACCTGCCGACCCGACCTGTCCTATAGTGCAAGTCAACTGGCGACGCATCTGAAGCAACCGGAACAGGAGGATCTCGAGGAGCTCAACCGGGCACTACTCTACTTCATCTCCACGCCGACGATCGGACTTACCTACAGCAAAGCGACAACATCGTCCGTACAACTACTCGGATACGTCGACGCCGACCACGCGGGAGATAGGGAAAATCGACGATCTAGGACGGGCTACATCTACCGACTAGAACCCATCGGAACTATCTCCTGGCAGTCGAGCAAGCAGGAGTTAATCGCACTATCCTCTGCTGAAGCAGAGTACATCGCCCTTTGTACCGCGACCAAGGAAGGACTCTACCTGCGAGAGTTACTCGAGGAAGCGAAGATCGCGACCCTGCCCGCCTTCTCACTCTTCTGCGACAACCAATCTGCGATCAAAATCGCAAACAAGAACGGCATCGCCAACCGAACCAAGCACATCGCCCTGCGGTACTTCTTCGTCAAGGATGAAATCGCGAAGGGGAGACTTCAACTCAGTTACTGCCCGACGACAGAAATGGCCGCAGACTATTTGACGAAGAAATTGGCGAAGGCAAAATTCGACTACTGCATGGTGCTGACCGGACAAACAAACGTCATCGGACCTGAACAAGTCAGCACTCCAGAAACGAAGGGGAGTGTTGAAAGTACATCAAAAGACTTAAGCGTTTCTGAAGTGTAACACTACACTCGAGGAAGATTGCAAGGGGTACGCGAGTCAACGGAAGTTACACGAGGGGGCGGACAAAGAACACGAAGGGTCTGGGACTCAAAGGGTCGCAACTGGAGATTGCGACTGACCGTTACAGCATCACGGATGGTAACCGAAGCGGCAATCGAGTCGCTATGCGACTCGATAAACCGTTCCTGTAACTGTACTCTGCAACTGCTTTCTTATCTTCTATATATTGCTGTATGCTTGTTTCTTTAATAAATCACTTGTTCTCACATACTAGTACAAGGGTTCAACTGTCTCAACTTCCGCTGCACTACTCCAAGTCTCAAGTCTCTACAGCTGGGACTTAGTCTCTGCAAAAGATCCTAAGGGCTTTTCTCAGCCCAACACATGTGACGACTTTAGAGATTGATCATAGCGCAAACACGTTACACTGCAATTTGATAATGCAACTCATGAATAGGTTCACATGCTATTCGTTCCCACTCCACACCATCACCCACCCAACCTGACACATTCCCCTGTGTCACCCTCTCACCAACGCCCCCACCATGCTCCCGGTGGCAAAAATTGACTTCATTCGAAAGCTGTGGCCATGGAAGCAAAGGTGACTTGGGGGAAAGCTTCCTGGGCTCTGTACTTAAAGCCTGTCTTGACCAGAAGTAGGTCCTCCTAAACCAAGCAGAAATGCCGACACTTCTTGCAGCAGCCATGTGTTTTCGGCTCTCGATAAATGGTGGCCAAAGTCCAGATGGTGGCCAAACATCGGATGTGGCCCGTCAGCGGTTGATATTCGGCAGTAATACGTCGCGATGCACCCGCGCACCTGGCAAGGGGGAGAGACCGATTGCCATGCCTCATCTCATGGTGTCTTGAGCTGAAATCTCATCCAATGTCAACCCTATTTTGCATCATAGCCATCCACCGTAACATCCAGCCATTGTGCAACCATCACCCAACCATCATCCTACCATCCTCCAACCATCCTCCAACCATCCTCCAACCATCATCCTACCATCATCCTACCCTCACCCAACGGACCTTCCGGTGGCTCCATTGTCGCTTGCCTGCTGGCCATTACTGCAGCTCGGCTGGTTCAACCTTTTCTACTGATCCCTGAGGGGGCGCTAGCCTGCGTTCTGTGCTGCGCTGACCTGCGTTCCGAGCTGCGCTGACCTGCGTTCCGTGCTGCGCTGACCAGCGTCACCGCGCTGACCTGCATTCCATGCTGCGCTGACCTGCGTTCTGTGCTGCACTGATCTGAGTTCCGTGTTGCAATGACCCGCGTTCCATGCTGCGCTGACCTGCTTGTGGAGATCAACACGGCAGATAGAGGCAGTGGGGATGGTCGCCTGTCCGCGCCGCCCGAACAGCTGCCACGTGTCCAGCAGCCGACAGCCGTCGATTTGAATCGTGCGCACCAGAAATGCCTCACGCACTTTCTGAGCAGCGAACCTGCGGCGGGTAGGTGGGGACGAGGGAGCGGGTGAATTGCAATGAAGCAAGTACCGGTCGTGCAGTGGGAAGGGAAAGTGCGAGCAATGCACGTGGGAAGCACGACTACGGACAAGCAGTCAGTTGAAAGGGCAGAGGCCATGATGCACAGCATGCACCGTGTGTAGTGAGTCGATTTTTGAGTCGACTAAAAAATCGGCTCACTACAGAAGGGCATAAGCCATGAAACACCACATGAAGGCTGCAGCAGTGGCATGAGAGAAGATAAAAACCGTTGTTCCTGGTATGTTGCGACTCAACACATGCACAGCCCCCCCATGTCACGTGCATTTCCCCCCATGCCACATGCACTGGCCCCTGGCCCCCATGTCACGTGCATTTCCCCCCATGCCACACGCACTGCCCCCATGCCAACAGCCCCTCACCGCCCTCACAGAGCGAACAAGGCGGATAAGACGGGCGCGATAGGCGGCAAGGGTTGCCCGTCATGGTTGTGGCTGTCAGGCAGCACTGCGAGCACCGCCAGGAGCGACCAGACCTGCCCAGGAGACGTGCAAGACATTGGAGAGCACGGAACATGACACGGATGGAACATGGCCTGCCACATGTTGTAAACCCTAAAATAAGGGATGGAACATGGTAGGTCACATGTCCTAAACCCTAGAATAAGGGATGGAACATGGTAGGACACATGTCCTAAACCCTAGAATAAGGGATGGAACATGGTAGGTCACATGTCCTAAACCCTAGAATAAGGGATGGAACATGGTAGGTCACATGTCCTAAACCCTAGAATAAGGGATGGAACATGGTAGGTCACATGTCCTAAACCCTAGAATAAGGGATGGAACATGGTATGTCACATGTGCTAAACCCTAGTACAAGGGGATGGAAGATGGTATGTCACATGTCCTAAACCCTAGTACAAGCGGATGGAAGATGGTATGTCACATGTCCTAAACCCTAGTATAAGCGGATGGAAGATGGTATGCCATCACATGCTATGCTGGTCGATGGCAAGTGAGCAGCTTTTCATGCAAACCACTTCACAGCAACCCTTTCGTTTCCATGTGATACGGGATGGATGGAACATGGCACACCAAATCGCATGTGATACGGGATGCATGGAACATGGCACGCCAAATCGCATGTGATACGGGATGGATGGAACATGGCACGCTAAATCGCATGTGATACGGTTCGGGATGGATGGATCATGGCACGCCAAATCGCATGTGATACGGGATGGATGGATCATGGCACGCCAAATCGCATGTGATACGGGATGGATGGAACATGGCACGCCAAATCGCATGTGATACGGGATGGATGGAACATGGCACGCCAAATCGCATGTGATACGGGATGGATGGATCATGGCACGCCAAATCGCATGTGATACGGGATGGATGGAACATGGCACGCCAAATCGCATGTGATACGGGATGGATGGAACATGGCATGCCAAATCGCATGTGATACGGGATGGATGGAACACGGCATGCCAAATCGCATGTGATACGGGATGGATGGAACACGGCATGCCAAATCGCATGTGATGAGAAACGTTCGCCTCTATGGTTCGATGCTCATGCCCATGCAGTATCATGCACATGCCGTCTCATGCTAATTACCCATGTCCTCTCATGCTCCTTACTCATGCCCTGTCATGCACATGCCATATCACGCTCATACCCATGCTGTGTCAACCAAATACCCACCTTAAGTGCTTCACACCACATACCACACCACCATACACGCCTCACCGCATCTCCCCCAAGACTCACAGCTCACCGCGAAGCCGAGCGTTGCGTTGGCCCAGTGGAGCGGCGGCAGGCGGATGACGAGGTCCGAGCTGGTCCTCGTCAGCAGCTGGAGGAAGGGAAGGGGGAAGGGGGAAGGGGGAATAATGGGGGAGGGGGAAGGGGAATGGGGAAGGGGGGAGGGGACGGGTGGAGGGGACGGGTGGAGGGGGCAAGGAGTGAGGTAAGGACCACGGGGAAGGGGATTGAGGAGGTTACGGCAGGCGGATGAAGAGGTCGGAGTTGGTCCTCGTCAGCAGCTGAGGGGGGGGGTGGGGGTGGTGGGGGGGAGAGGGGGGGGAGAGGGGGTGGCGGACGGGCGAAAGGGACATCGGCTGGTGGACGGGGGGAAGGGGATTGAGAATAGGGCGGCAGGCGGATGAAGCAGTCGCAGCTGGTCCTCGTCAGCAGCTGAGAGGGGGGGAGGGGGAATGGGGAGAGTGGGCGGAAGAGCGAATTGGGCAGGGGGTAGAGTACGGCACGGCGGCCAGAAATTGAAAAGGCTTGTTGAAAGCCAAGGCTAATGTGGTGCAGTGGAGTGCATTAAGGGGCGGCATTTCAAACCCAGCAGCGACTCATATCTTTCCCCCCTCCCCCACCCACCCCACCCCCCCCCCCTGACTCGCGTCTTCCCGCACTGGCGCACCACCACGTGCGTGCCATATGTGGACACTGGCAGTCTCCCCCTCCCCCACCTCCCCTCCCCATTGGCGCACCACGCGCGTGCCAGCTGGCGGAGCGCCGCCCTGCGAGTGCGACGGCTCGATCAACGGCATCTCCATCTCCACCGCAACTGACGCCGCTTTTGACGCTGCCGAATCCAGGCCCGAAGGGTGCGGGGGTGTGACGGTTACTACGTGAAAGGAGGATGCTGTCGGCTTGGCGTCTGAGCCCCGCGGGGCGGATGAGGCGCTGGCGGATTCCGCCATTGCCACTGCGGCGGAAGCAGCGCGGGGAAGGCGCACGAGGAGGGGGAATTATATGAATTTATCTGATCGAACCAGCGGGACAGAACGGGTAGGTAATAGGGGCACAGCGGTGGGTACGAGGCAGAGCCGGGGGGGACGCTGAAAGGAGACTGCAAGGCACCGGATAACTGGAGAACAATACTGACGAGGGGGCAAATGTGAGTTCTGAAACGCAGTAGAAAGCGCGAACAGCGATGGAGGAACGGAAGTTGCGCGAAGAGCAGAGGGAACGAAAAATCAGCGGGGAACGGAAATGCTAGCTGGCGGCCAAGTGGAAAAGGACAACTGCCACCTTGGGATTTACGATGGACGAGTGGATTTCAGTTGAGGGTGGTTTGCGCTGTACGCCATACGTGCTGCATCACTGTCGTATAAGAAAAAACAGCCAAGACATCAACCATGCAATTGTCAACTGCTGAAACCTTCAACAGGATTGGCTGGCTTGCTTGAAAAGCTGCTTTGTTTCTCCGTTTCGCATCCCTGTAATCTGCTCCACACATCATTAACAAATACAAATAGAAGAGGGGAGGGAGTGTTCACAAGACCACCAATTGTATGTGTTGGAAATATCTCAAATGACTTAAGCGTTTCTGAAGTATAACACTGTACTCGAGGAAGATTACAGGGGAGCACGCGAGTCAACGGAGGTTGCACGAGGGGGCGGACAAAGAATGCGAAAAGACTCGAAAGGTCGCAACTGGAGGTTACGACTGACCGTTACAACATCACGGATGGTAACCGAAGTGGCAATCGAGTCGCTGTGCGACTCGATAAACCGTTCCTGTAACTGTATTCTACAACTGCTTTCTTATCTTCTATATATTGCTGTATGCTTGTTTCTTTAATTAATCACTTGTTCTCACATACTAGTACAAGGGTTCAACCGTCTCAACTTCCGCTGCACTACTCAAAGTCTCAAGTCTCTACAGCTGGCACTTAGTCTCTGAAAAGATCCTAAGGGCTTTCTCTCAGCCCAATATGGTATGAGAGCTGGTCAGAGACCAAACTCCCAGCAACTGCGCTCCATCAACCTGCAACTCAACTCAATTCAACGACTTCATTGATCACAAGACATGGACAGCAAGGGCAAGAAAGTCTCTACGGGCTCACCCAGCGGCCAAGAAACTCAACACGACAACTCTGGTCTGCACACCTCAGGACTACAGACAGAGACCGGGACTGCTCGAGAAACAACGGGAAGAGTACCAGAGATGGTGACTCCATCTCCCTCTTCAAGCGTGGACCCCAACCTTATGGAAAGGTTCTTCAGCTTCATGTCGCACTTCGACCAGCAGCAGCAGACAAGGACACCTGCGCATTCAACACACAGCAATGGAGGAAACATGGGATTAGCGCTGATGAGCCTCGACAACTCATCGTTTGGGCGACACAATCAAGCGCCTACCTTTGCGCCTTATCACTCTTCACCGGGGACGTTCGAGTTCATGCCGCCCCGTGCCCAACCAACAGCAGCTGCATCACAACAAACACCAAACGAAATCTTAAGTCTCCAGGCGCAGTTTTCACACGTGATTAAACTGCAGACATCCTCACCGTTCAACGGACACGACTTCTTTACCTGGAGCTTCGAGTTCGAGCTGCTGATGGAGGCTGCGCACCTTCTGGGATACTTCAACGGGTCCCTGCCATTCCCAAGCAACGGCACTGGAAAGGAACAAGAAATCTTCACGTATCAGTCGCTGCTGGCGTATACGGTTCTCCTGAGAAACCTGTCACCACAAGAACAGCAGAGCATTAGAACATACAGGAGCTATGGAAACTCCGCGGAGCTCGCATGGCACCATCTCAAGTGCCTCTACCAAGCAAACGACAGCGTGACACAAAGCAGACTCATGCAACAACTGACAACAATACAAATGAAGACCGGGGAAAAGGCGATGCAGTATATGAGCCGCTGCCAGACCCTCCGCGACCGCCTGCTTCGGTGCGGAGGAACAATCACTGAAGAAAGCTTCGTGACACTTGTCCTCGCCGGGCTCGGGCCAGAATGGAGAACCACACGATCGCTTCTTCGCGCCCACGGAAGGATTTCGGAGATGCACCTCTGCGCCGAGCTTCACGCTGAACAACAGGAGATGGACCTGTTCGAAGAAAGACAACCAAGGAAGCAGCAGCAGTTAGTCTTCTACACTCAACGAAGAAACGACAACACCTACAATCAACGCAGCAAGCAAGAACGCGACAACAGGGGATTTACCTTCGTGCCGCCGTTCTGCCACAAGTGCCAGACTTCCGGGCACTCCAAGGTCAACTGCAACCGCCCTCGCGTTTACCGTCCAGCAGACCCACAAGTCGCTTCCACTCAAGCAAGTCCCCCAAGACGCTCTTCAACATCTGCACAACAGACACCAAACATTATCAATTGCATGGTACACATCGACAACTGCGCACCCGGCTCACCACCCACTTACGCGCCAGACGAAAAAGAGCTCCCGCCACCGCGCTCACAAGGCCTTCAAGTCAATCCAACATATGCTGCGGTCGCCAACGCCGAACCCACTGGGCGAAACACCTGGTTCTTGGACAGCTGCTGCGGGCAACACATGTGCTCTTCGGGACGATTCGTGCAACAGGAGAAACGCCTCAACCGCGACGTCGTCATCACCGTCGCCAACAACGAAAATCTGAAGACAAACAGACAAGGCGTGGTTCAGTTACAATCCATGGAGACAAACGTCATACTTCAGCTCAACAAAGTCCTCATTGTCGACAACCTGGGATACAACCTACTAAGCGTAAGCCAACTAATCGCCAAGGGGATTCACCTGGAGTGCGACTCCTACTCCAACGAGTTTCGGCTATACCACGGAAAGGGTGGCCTCTTCATCGGTCGTGCCCTCCTGAAATCCGGCGTCTTCGTGTTGGACTTCGTCCCCGACCGCGGTACTGCCGACAGCGACGGCATCGTATCATTCGCCGCCTGGACACACCCCGCCGGATCTTGATCCAGAATTCGACAGTGACGGCTTCTGGCACTCCAACACCATACCTGCAGCAGAAAGAACACGAGCATTAGCAGTCATCAGACAAGAAAGACAAGTACCCGCGAGTATCCCAACCAAACCATCACCTGCAGTAGCAGCAGCAGGACCCAGCCGAGTCCCACCACCGGCGATCCGAGGACCGCCAACCGAAGCAGACCAACTTATGCCCATCACACGATAAGTTTGTCGAAGTCCCGCCACAGTCGTCGCATTCTTCTCCAACGCCGACATATACCACCGCTCGCCGGGTCATCGCGCTTCCGACGACATCTGGCACCAACGCCTCGGGCATCCTGCAAACAGCACGATACTACAAACAATCCAAGCAGAGGTGTTAGAACGCAACGCCCTCCTAATGACGAGCGGCCAAGAACTTCGAAGACCACGAGCACGGTGCTTCACGTGCCCCGAAGCAGATCTTCCCCATCAGCCTTTTCCATCTCATCACAACCCAAGCGCACCTACCTACGCTCCGATGGAAAAAGTCTACAGCGATATTTTAAACATGCCTCGAGAAGACACCGAAGCCGACTTCAACTACGTCATCACGTTCATCGACGCAGCAACCAGATACGTCTGGCACTTCAATCTCAAGACGCGCGATCAAGCTTTCGACGCCTTCACAACATGGCTTCCCATCGCCGAACGAGAATCAGGAACCAAGCTCAAGAGCTTCCAGTCAGACGGTGCACTGGAATACCAGTCACAACGCTTCATGACCTATCTGGCGGAAAGAGGAATCAGACGCCTGGTGTCTCTGCCCTATGCACACCAGCAGCAGGGGGTCGCAGAACGCATGAACCGGACCTTGCAGACGACGATGCGAAAACTGCTTCTGGGAATGAGGCTGCCCACCACACTGTGGCCAGACGCGATAACACATGCAGTTCACCTGCACAACCTGCTGTCCTCGTCATCGCTTCCCAACAACGCATCACCGCACCTGTTGTGGACAAGAAAAAGGGGCAGCACAAAATTACTTCCGAGTTTTCGGCTGCATGGTACAGTACAGACCCCACACAGCCCGAGCAGGACGCTTCACACAACGAGCTCGGTGGGGACTACACCTCGGCATCGCCAAACATTTTCACGCGTGGAAAATTCTCGACATACAAGACAAAAATACCGTGGCATCACGTGATGTTATCTTCTACGAGCGACTGACGCTGCAGCATTACCTGGACAACATTGCCAACACACAAGACCCCACCGACGGCTTCTCCGGACTTCGTTCCTTCGCCGACCGTGCTGCCGAAGCTGACGCGGCAGAAGAAGACGTACCTGAAGCCTCGGAAGCTGCCGGACCACTCCCATTCTGTTCCGTACCTGTTCCACTCGACGAAGACAATCCTCTCGATAGCAACAACCTCGACACCTTTTACCACTTCGCTGACCAAGGTTACATTACACCCCACCCAGTCGACACAAATGTTTCAGAACGCATCGGTCCCAACTTCTTACCTGACCCAGAAGACGGTGACGAAGCAGCTTATTCCGGGAATGAAAATTCCCCTCGACACACACCCACAGGACTGCAGATTCTAGGCCTCTGGGTCTCCGTCCAGCATCCGCCGCCGCCTTCTCCGCGAGAGCCTTCGACCCTGTCGCAGGCTCTGGGGGGGGAATATAAGGCGAAATGGAAGGAAGCGATGGAAAAGGAGTTAAAGGCTCTGCAAGACCAGAAAACATGGAAACTGGTACCTGCAACAAACATCAACGGGAAAAACGTCCTCTCGGGGAAATGGGTGTACCGCATTAAGACCAACTCAGACGGCTCCATCGAACGATTCAAAGCTCGATGGGTCGTACGAGGCTTCGATCAACGATACGGGACCGACTACACAGAAACCTTCGCTCCAGTCTCCCGTCACACCTCATTACGCATCCTACTCGCCGTCGCGGCCACGAAAACATTACCACTACGCCAAATCGACGTCGCGAATGCGTTCCTATACGCACCTGTGGACGCCGAGATTTTCGTCGAACAACCCCACGGATTCATCGACGACCCCACGAAAGTATGCCAACTGACAAAATCCTATACAGGATCAAGCAAGCCCCGCGGCGTTGGCAGGAGCATCTCCACGGCCGTCTCGCAAAAATCGGATTCCTACAGCTGCCGCATGACCAAGGAATGTACGGACTGCAGAAGGGAAGAGAGTATATCCTACTCATCGTCTACGTCGACGACCTGCTCTACATCGGCTCCACTACCGACATCGCCACCTGGTTCGAACGGGAGCTGAAAGAAGACTTAACACTCACGGTGTCCGACGAAGTGACCCAGTACCTAGGACTGAATGTCGTCGAAAACGACACGGCGTTCTACCTACACGCTGGAAAGTACTCAGGCACCGTCGCGAAGAAATTCGGTTAACACCGACTACTGTCCCAACCCCCTACCACTACGGGAACAACAACAGCACCTCCGCAAAACTCCCCGCGAAGCAAATCCAGGAGTATCAACAGAAGCTCGGCTGCCTACTATTCGCAGCAGTAACTTGCCGACCCGACCTGTCCTATAGTGCGAGTCAACTGGCGACGCATCTGAAGCAACCGGAACAGGAAGATCTTGAGGAGCTCAACCGGGCACTACTCTACTTCGTCTCCACGCCGACGATCGGGCTTACCTACAGCAAAGCGACAACACCGTCCGTACGACTACTCGGATACGTCGACGCTGACCACGCGGGAGATAGGGAAAATCGACGATCTAGGACGGGCTACATCTACCGACTAGAACCCATCGGAACTATCTCCTGGCAGTCGAGCAAGCAGGAGTTAATCGCACTATCATCGGCTGAAGCAGAGTATATCGCCCTTTGTACTGCGACCAAGGAAGGACTCTACCTGCGGGAGCTACTCGAGGAAGCGAAGATCGCGACCCTGCCCGCCTTCTCACTCCTCAGCGACAACCAATCTGCGATCAAAATCGCGAACAAGGACGGCTTCGCCAACCGAACCAAGCACATCGCCCTGCGGTACTTCTTCGTCAAGGATGAAATCGCGAAGGGGAGACTTCAACTCAGTTACTGCCCGACGACAGAAATGGCCGCAGATTATCTGACGAATAAATTGGCGAAAGCAAAATTCGACTACTGCATGCTCCTGACCGGGCAAACAAACGTCACCGGATCTGAACACGCCAGCACTCCAGAAACGAAGGGAGTGTTGGAAATATCTCAAAGGACTTAAGCGTTTCTGAAGTATAACACTGTACTCGAGGAAGATTACAGGGGAGCACGCGAGTCAACGGAGGTTGCACGAGGGGGCGGACAAAGAATGCGAAAAGACTCGAAAGGTCGCAACTGGAGGTTACGACTGACCGTTACAACATCACGGATGGTAACCGAAGCGGCAATCGAGTCGCTGTGCGACTCGGATAAACCGTTCCTGTAACTGGTATTCTACAACTGCTTTCTTATCTTCTATATATTGCTGTATGCTTGTTTCTTTAATTAATCACTTGTTCTCACATACTAGTACAAGGGTTCAACCGTCTCAACTTCCGCTGCACTACTCAAAGTCTCAAGTCTTCACAGCTGGGACTTAGTCTCTGAAAAGATCCTAAGGGCTTTTTCTCAGCCCAACATGGTATGAGAGCTGGTCAGAGACCAAACTCCCAGCAACTCGCTCCATCAACCTGCAACTCAACTCAATTCAACGACTTCATTGATACAAGACATGGACAGCAAGGGCAAGAAAGTCTCTACGGGCTCACCCAGCGGCCAAGAAACTCAACACGGCAACTCTGGTCTGCACACTCAGGACTGCAGACAGAGACCGGGACTGCTCAAGAAACAACGGGAAGAGTACCAGAGATGGTGACTCCATCTCCCTCTTCAAGCGTGGACCCAAGCTTATGGAAAGGTTCTTCAGCTTCATGTCGCACTTCGACCAGCAGCAGCAGACAAGGACATCTGCGCATTCAACACAGAGCAATGGAGGAAACATGGGATTAGCGCCGATGAGCCTCGACAACTCATTTTGGGCGACACAATCAAGCGCCTACCTTTGCGCCTTATCACTCTTCACCGGGGACGTTCGAGTTCATGCCGCCCCGTGCCCAACCAACAGCAGCTGCATCACAACAAACACCAAACGAAATCTTAAGTCTCCAGCGCAGTTTTCACACGTGATTAAACTGCAGACATCCTCACCGTTCAACGGACACGACTTCTTTACCTGGAGCTTCGAGTTCGAGCTGCTGATGGAGGCTGCGCACCTTCTGGGATACTTCAACGGGTCCCTGCCATTCCCAAGCAACGGCACTGGAAAGGAACAAGAAATCTTCACGTATCAGTCGCTGCTGGCGTATACGGTTCTCCTGAGAAACCTGTCACCACAAGAACAGCAGAGCATCAGAACATACAGGAGCTATGGAAACTCCGCGGAGCTTGCATGGCACCATCTCAAGTGCCTCTACCAAGCAAACGACAGCGTGACACAAAGCAGACTCATGCAACAACTGACAACAATACAAATGAAGACCGGGGAAAAGGCGATGCAGTATATGAGCCGCTGCCAGACCCTCCGCGACCGCCTGCTTCGGTGCGGAGGAACAATCACTGAAGAAAGCTTCGTGACACTTGTCCTCGCCGGGCTCGGGCCAGAATGGAGAACCACACGATCGCTTCTTCGCGCCCACGGAAGGATTTCGGAGATGCACCTCTGCGCCGAGCTTCACGCTGAACAACAGGAGATGGACCTGTTCGAAGAAAGACAACCAAGGAAGCAGCAGCAGTTAGTCTTCTACACTCAACGAAGAAACGACAACACCTACAATCGACGCGGCAAACAAGAACGCGACAACAGGGGATTTACCTTCGTGCCGCCGTTCTGCCACAACTGCCAGACTTCCGGGCACTCCAAGGTCAACTACAACCGCCCTCGCGTTTACCGTCCAGCAGACCCACAAGTCGCTTCCACTCAAGCAAGTCCCCCAAGACGCTCTTCAACATCTGCACAACAGACACCAATATTATCAATTGCATGGTACACATCGACAACTGCGCACCCGGCTCACCACCCACTTACGCGCCAGACGAAGAAGAGCTCCCGCCACCGCGCTCACAAGGCCTTCAAGTCAATCCAACATATGCTGCGGTCGCCAACGCCGAACCCACCGGGCGAAACACCTGGTTCTTGGACAGCTGCTGCGGGCAACACATGTGCTCCTCAGGAGGATTCGTGCAACAGGAGAAACGCCTCAACCGCGACGTCGTCATCAGCATCGCCAACAACGAAAATCTGAAGACAAACAGACAAGGCGTGGTTTCAGTTACAATCCATGGAGACAAACGTCATACTTCAGCTCAACAAAGTCCTCATTGTCGACAACCTGGGATACAACCTACTAAGCGTAAGCCAACTAATGGCCAAGGAGATTCACCTGGAGTGCGGCTCCTACTCCAACGAGTTTCGGCTATAGCACGGAAAGGGTGGCCTCTTCATCGGTCGTGCCCTCCTGAAATCCGGCGTCTTCGTGTTGGACTTCGTCCCCGATCGCGGTACTGCCGACAGCGACGGCATCGTATCATTCGCAGCCTGGACACACCCGCCGGATCTTGATCTAGAATTCGACAGTGACGGCTTCTGGCACTCCAACACCATACCTGCAGCAGAAAGAACACGAGCATTAGCAGTCATCAGACAAGAAAGACAAGTACCCGCGAGTATCCCAACCAAACCATCACCTGCAGTAGCAGCAGGACCCAGCCGAGTCCCACCACCGGCGATCCGAGGACCGCCAACCGAAGCAGACCAACTTATGCCCATCACACGAGAAGTTTGTCGAAGTCCCGCCACAGTCGTCGCGTTCTTCTCCAACGCCGACATATACCACCGCTCGCCGGGTCATCGCGCTTCCGACGACATCTGGCACCAACGCCTCGGGCACCCTGCAAACAGCACGATACTACAAACAATCCAAGCAGAGGTGTTAGAACGCAACGCCCTCCTAACGACGAGCGGCCAAGAACTTCGAAGACCACGAGCACGGTGCTTCACGTGCCCCGAAGCAGATCTTCCCCATCAGCCTTTTCCATCATCACAACCCAAGCGCACCTACCTACGCTCTGATGGAAAAAGTCTACAACGATATTTTAAACATGCCTCGAGAAGACACCGAAGCCGACTTCAACTACGTCATCACGTTCATCGACGCAGCAACCAGATACGTCTGGCACTTCAATCTCAAGACGCGCGATCAAGCTTTCGACGCCTTCACAACGTGGCTTCCCATCGCCGAACGAGAATCAGGAACCAAGCTCAAGAGCTTCCAGTCAGACGGTGCACTGGAATACCAGTCACAACGCTTCAGGACCTATCTGGCGGAAAGAGGAATCAGACGCCTGGTGTCTCTGCCCTATGCTCACCAGCAGCGGGGTCGCAGAACGCATGAACCGGACCTTGCAGACGACGATGCGAAAACTGCTTCTGGGAATGAGGCTGCCCACCACACTGTGGCCAGACGCGATAACACATGCAGTTCACCTGCACAACCTGCTGTCCTCGTCATCGCTTCCCAACAACGCATCACCGCACCTGTTGTGGACAAGAAAAAGGGGCAGCACAAAATTACTACGAGTTTTTGGCTGCATGGTACAGTACAGACCCCACACAGCCCGAGCAGGACGCTTCACACAACGAGCTCGGTGGGGACTACACCTCGGCATCGCCAAACATTTCACGCGTGGAAAATTCTCGACATACAAGACAAAAATACCGTGGCATCACGTAATGTTATCTTCTACGAGCGACTGACGCTGCACCATTACCTGGACAACATTGCCCACACACAAGACCCCACCGACGGCTTCTCCAAACTCCGTTCCTTCGCCGACCGTGCTGCCGAAGCTGACGCGGCAGAAGAAGACGTACCTGAAGCCTCGGAAGCTGCCGGACCACTCCCATTCTGTTCCGTACCTGTTCCACTCGACGAAGACAATCCTCTCGATAGCAACAACCTCGACACCTTTTACCACTTCGCTGACCAAGGTTACATTACACCCCACCCAGTCGACACAAATGTTTCAGAACGCATCGGTCCCAACTTCTTACCTGACCCAGAAGACGGTGACGAAGCAGCTTATTCCGGGAATGAAAATTCCCCTCGACACACACCCACAGGACTGCAGATTTTAGGCCTCTGGGTCTCCGTCCAGCATCCGCCGCCGCCTTCTCCGCGAGAGCCTTCGACCTGTCGCAGGCTCTGGGGGGGGAATATAAGGCGAAATGGAAGGAAGCGATGGAAAAGGAGTTAAAGGCTCTGCAAGACCGGAAAACATGGAAACTGGTACCTGCAACAAGCATCAACGGAAAAAACGTCCTCTCGGGGAAATGGGTGTACCGCATTAAGACCAACTCAGACGGCTCCATCGAACGATTCAAAGCTCGATGGGTCGTACGAGGCTTCGATCAACGATACGGGACCGACTACACAGAAACCTTCGCTCCAGTCTCCCGTCACACCTCATTACGCATCCTACTCGCCGTCGCGGCCACGAAGACATTACCACTACGCCAAATCGACGTCGCGAATGCGTTCCTATACGCACCTGTGGACGCCGAGATTTTCGTCGAACAACCCCACGGATTCATCGACGACCCCACGAAAGTATGCCAACTGACAAAATCCTATACGGGATCAAGCAAGCCCCGCGGCTCTGGCAGCAGTTCCACGGCCGTCTCGCAAAAATCGGATTCCTACAGCTGCCGCATGGCCAATGTACCGACTGCAGAAGGGAAGAGAGTATATCCTACTCATCGTCTACGTCGACGACCTGCTCTACATCGGCTCCACTACCGACATCGCCACCTGGTTCGAACGGGAGCTGAAAGAAGACTTAACACTCACGGTGTCCGACGAAGTGACCCAGTACCTAGGACTGAATGTCGACGAAAACGACACGGCGTTCTACCTACACGCTGGAAAGTACTCAGGCACCGTCGTGAAGAAATTCGGTTTAACACCGACTACTGTCCCAACCCCCTACCACTACGGGAACAACAACAACACCTCCGCAAAACTCCCCGCGAAGCAAATCCAGGAGTATCAACAGAAGCTCGGCTGCCTACTATTCGCAGCAGTAACCTGCCGACCCGACCTGTCCTATAGTGCGAGTCAACTGGCGGCGCATCTGAAGCAACCGGAACAGGAAGATCTCGAGGAGCTCAACCGGGCACTACTCTACTTCGTCTCCACGCCGACGATCGGGCTTACCTACAGCAAAGCGACAACACCGTCCGTACGACTACTCGGATACGTCGACGCCGACCACGCGGGAGATAGGGAAAATCGACGATCTAGGACGGGCTACATCTACCGACTAGAACCCATCGGAACTATCTCCTGGCAGTCGAGCAAGCAGGAGTTAATCGCACTATCCTCGGCTGAAGCAGAGTATATCGCCCTTTGTACTGCGACCAAGGAAGGACTCTACCTGCGGGAGTTACTCGAGGAAGCGAAGATCGCGACCCTGCCCGCCTTCTCACTCCTCTGCGACAACCAATCTGCGATCAAAATCGCGAACAAGGACGGCTTCGCCAACCGAACCAAGCACATCGCCCTGCGGTACTT